TCGGTGCGAAATTGCAAATGGGGAAAAGAGGAGGGGGAAAAGCAGGCTCTTTTATTATCCCCCCACCCCACCCGTGGACTCCACAAAACCCTGGCGGCTGGTCTCCTTTAAGGCTCTTCTTTCTCTCCCCCGCCTTTCCTTCAATGGCTCGTGGAGACTGCCTGCGACTCGGGAAACTGACACATTGTTGCCACTCCTCCGGTCACCCTAAAGTAGCTGCCACTCTTCCCTCTCTCTGCCCCCTGAGGACCTTTTCTTTTTTAAAAAAACAAACGCCGGGGCGAAGCTTCGCCCAAGCGCATATCGCTTACTTTAAAAAACAAATGGTGTGGGGGGGGGAGCGGAAGCCTCAGGCTTCCGAACGGAAGTTGTTTCTCGATGGTGGAGAGCGATCAGACGGCGGGTACAGCGATTACAACCATTGTACTCAGGATACCACCACTTGGGGACCTAAGAGTACAATGGTTTAAAGGGCTTTGCAACGGTTAGGGACAGAAGGCAGATGTTCTACGTGTGAATGCCGGTAAGTACACCGATTGCAACCGGCACCTATACCGTTGCAAACGCTGCGTCTGAACGCACCCAGAGTGTTGGACTGGATGGGCCATTGACCTGATCCAACATTGGCTTCTCTTATGTTCTTATGTAGATTACTTATTTTACAGGTGGGAAGCACTGAAGCTGTCTATTCCCACGAATGAAGAGTAAATTCATTGCAGAGATTTCAAAGCACTTGTAGAGTAGATCGTTCAAGAAAAAGAGCCAAGCTGGCAGATGTGCCCACACACACATTCAGTCATTGTTTATTGCCTCATATGGTTTGTCGTTATTCTGCTGATGGATTGGCTCCATTCAATCAAGCTCGCTACCTCTGCATTTCTTCTGTGTATGACCAGCCTGGATACTACCTTGAGCCAGCCAGCAGTGTTACCACTGGTACTTAAGCTGAGCTGTGATTACCCTTACCTTCTCTGGTAGTTAGGGCAGAAGCCACGAAGCTGGGCCAGGTGATCTGGTTACCTGGTTACCATATTAGCAGCACTGTACTGGATCTCCTAGAATCAGGCATGTAAATGTCATTATCAAGCCATAACATGTGGCATTGCACGACTACTAAGACCCCTGTGGGTTTCAGGAACAAAAGAACCAATAGTGGTGTAAAATTGATTTCTACAATGGTCAGCTGACTCTCTAATGCTTGCAAATACTATTTTATCTACTACAGCTCAGGCCAGTCTTTGTGGTACTGCCAGAGCTAAGAGTTTAGCTAGAGTCAGGTGTAAGTCAGTATTCATTGTTCAATGAATATTTTGACACTGTGCTGATGTTCAGAATTTAGAGGTGAGAAATGAATATTTCTTACGTTTGGACTTCTACAGTGCTACAAAAGAATTTCATGATGGAAGTGAGAATTTCTTCTGAGCTCGTTTAGAATATGTATGTATGCTGTATCTGGATGTGTCCAAGAATATGTGGTTTGTAATCCTGAATTAGCAGCTAACATTCTGTTATTCAAAGGATGTTTCTTATTGTCATTGTTTTGATCTTTGCAAATAATTGTATACTTAGCGCTTGACTTTGTATGCATGGAGCTGTGGTGGCTCAAGTGGTTAAAGCGCTGAGCTGCAGGCTGTGGAAGGTCGGTAGTTCAGCAGTTCAAGACCCGAGTGCGCCGCATGATGGAGTGAGCTCCCGTCTCTAGTTCCAGCTCCTGCCAACCTAGCAGTTCGAAAGCAAGAAATTGCAAGTAGATAAATAGGTACCACTTCGGTGGGAAGGTAACAGCGTTCCGTGCGCCTTGGTGTTTCGTCATGCCGGCCACATGACCACGGAAATGTCTTCGGACAGCGCTGGCTCTTCGGCTTTGAAACGGAGATGAGCACCGCAACCCTAGAGTCGGATTCGACTGGCTTTCGAGCAAGGGAACCTTTACCTTTACCTTGTATGCATGGAGAGTGATACTTTTTTTTGGATGTGTATAATTAATATTCTTGATAATGAAATATCTTAAGTGATATCTACTGTAGCCCTGGCTTAGGTGCAGCTTCATATCTTGAGGCTCTCATAACATAATAAGATTGGGATAGAAAAATGCAGAGAGCATTTTGTTAACATTAACAATAGTTGTCCTGCATTCTCATCTGTCTCATGTAATGTAAATGTTGTAAGGTATTTTTGGCTGTGCACTTAAGCATATTATCCATTTTGAAATTTTGAAAAACTGAGGTAAATTCTATTTCTCTGTTAAAACAAATTTACTTTTAGCCCAGCCTAAGTACTTTGATAACTGTTTCTCTTTGAACACTGGTAACGTAAACCATTAGGAAAGTAAGTGTACACTTTGGTCACAGTAGCAAAGGCTTCAGTTGAATCCAGTAAAGAAAGTAGATTATTATCTTCATTCTAAGATTCATTGGCTTGGAGAAGGCAGAAAAATTGTGAGGGAAAAGTTAGTCTTCCTACAAGCCTGTTACAAATTTTACTTTAACAGAGCAGTGATACTCAGTGACTTGGGAGCCACACTTGGCTCTTTGACATGCCACCTGTGGCTCTTCTGAACAGCACTTCCCAATGTGACATCTCAGTAGAACTTGTGGATGACTGGTGGTTCCCACCTTGAAATAACTGCTGGCAGAGGAACTCAAGGACAGGTTAGCATCCCCAAAGTGTGAGCCTTATGCCATGGATGCAAGTAAAGGGCATATCCTCTTCAAAAGGAGACCTCTTGGCATCCCTCTTTGTTACTTGCTGCCACTCAGTGGGGTGGCAAGGGGGAAATGGCTGGAAAATGAATGGTGCAGTGTCACTTCTAGTGACTACCCCTTCAGGGTCATCACATTGCCAGTGTGATACTCTAGGATTTGGACAAAATGCTGTGGTTTTACCATAGAGTTTTGTCTGAATCCTGGAGGGTTTCGTTGGCAATGTGATGTCACTTTTCAGTATCCACTGAAAGTTACAGTACAGTGTCATATTCCTCCCCAAAGCCACCCCCTTCATTCCCCCCCACTATTCAACAACTCCCCCTTCTCTGCAACCTTTGTACTCTCATCTCAGCACTCACACAGCTCTCGGAACGAGAGCAAGGTAGCTACAGTAGAGTTGCAGTGATTTTACTTCCGTTTCTTCACAGCCAACTTTCTCTCCTCTGTGCCTTGGCATTCTCTTGCCTGAGCTATTGTGCTTCATCATGCTGAGGAGAGAGTGAGAAGGCAGGAAGGAAGTTTTCCCCCTCACTCCAGAACCACAAGAGCTGTCTAAGGTTCAGCAATGGTCATTAATAAGGTTATAGTTGAACATGTAATATTAATAGTTATACTATTGTACATGTGTGTTGAAGGGGGTGGCACACAGGGCATACAAGAATCATGTGACCCTTTTGGTTGATAGTAAATGTGCATGTGGCTCCCTGTAAGCCTTGGAGTGAGTATCACTGTCTTCGATGATTTATTTCATTTTGCTTCATTCATTCCAAAGTGCCTTACATCATTCCCTTCTGCGATTTCTGCTTACAACAACCCTGTGAGGGAGGTTAGGCTGAAAGTACATGACTGGCTCAAGGTCACCTAGCAAGACTGGGAATTTGTACCTGGAGTTTCCCAGATCCTAGTTTGACACTGTAATCATTATGCCACATTGGCTCTGAAGGAAAAAACAATGGAAACAATGAATTATTGAGCCTAAAGACAATGAGATATCTCTTTTTTGTTTCATGTTAATTGATTGTAGATATTTAAATTTGGTGAAGTTCAGTCTGAATTTGAAATAAAGGATACTGGGATAGTACCTGGTGAATGTGACTGGGGGTTGGGAAGATGGAGTTTGAGGATGGAAAGAAATCTCAGGTCTACTTTTTTGGCTTTAAAAATATCAGCAGGTATCTTCATACTGTGTAAATGTTTGTTTCATTTATACAAAGAGAGCTACTAATGAGGCAAGCCCCACAGTGGTTAAAATCTGACTGACAGGGTTGCCAAGTACTCTTCACTCCCTGGTAGGGGGTGGGAGGGAGCTCTCCAGGAATGCGGGAGCGGGGCAACGTCACCATGCGTGACATTCCCCAGCATGATGACATCACATGGAATTGACGTCATCACACTGGGGGTGCCACGTGGTAACGCTTTAGTATTTTGGACAAAACTCTATGGTTATCATAGAGTTTTGCCATGCAGCATCCCCAGTGTGATGATGTCACTTCCATTTGACATCATCACACTGGGAATGTTGTCTCATGTGGTTGGTGTTGGGGGTGGGGCATCTCCTGCTGTCCAGCTGTCCAGCAGTGGATTGGAGCCCGCCAAATTGGGGGATCCCCTGCTCCCACCTGGGGACTGACAACCCTAGTGGCACCCCACTTGTAAATCCTGCTTCCTAATTTTATATGTGTTTGGGGCAGGCTGCGTTTTTCCAGTGATATGGAAAATAGAGGCTGCATTCAGACATCACAAACAGTGCTTTGTTCATGACTGGCACAATCTCAGTTTGCTGACAGGTTTGTGATTTTCCTCCTGCCTCTCCTTACATACAGAGCTTGAGTAAAGTTGTCTTGGTTTCAGAAGTCTTCAATCAGACTCAAGTTTATCATGACACCCAAATGTAGGTGCCTGGACAAATTATTTTGTTATGTTTTGTTTCTCACCCATAAACCGGGATTCGAATCAAACTCCAGTTTGCTCAGACACCTGCCTTTGGATGTCACAGCAAATTGCAGTTTAATTGAAGGTTGCTGAAACCAAGAGGCCTTCAAATACTCTCTGGATACAAGGGGAGGAGGAAGGGATCATAGACACATAGTTGTAAGCCGAGATTGTGCACATCATGAGCAAATGTCTGTTTCAATGTCTCAGTTTGGCCACATTCTCTATACACTTGAAGGCCCTCTAACACTGTTGTTTTTTCCAGGGCATTCAAAACAGACACATGTGATCAAAACAGGTGAACCCTGGCTCTAATTTAAGCCACTTTCTCATGAATTCAGATGTACTCTTTTGTCCTTGCAGGCCAACATAAGATCAAATTCATTCCTGAGATGGTGGGGCCCATGTTAGAAATGACACTGATCCCTGAAACTGAACTTAGAAAAGCTACTATTCCAATCTTCTTTGATATGATGCAGTGTGAGTTTCATTCTACCCGGAGCTTCCAGATGGTAAGAATAATTTAATTACAAAGTCTAAACATACTTTCCTTGTTAAAAGCAAAACCTTAAGTTTTATGTTTTTCAGTACTGATCAGGTTTGCACAGTTTGTGCCCCACATGGTGGCTCAGTGGGAACTACACTACACCACACACACACACACACATACACACACACACACACAGACTCATTTTGGTGCCTGCCTATCTACAACAACACAAACCAGCATTTGGATGGTGTGTCCCAAGTTGTGGCAGCCAAATGTGAATGATGAATGATAATAAGTTGAATGATGGTACTTGTGACTCTTTGCAAGTTAAATTGTTGGATATGTTGTGTTCTGCCTATGTACCATATATACCTTAGCATTTACTTTGCTATGTCTAGAAAGATTGAAAGTTTGTACTTTGAATGAAAAGTTTTTTTGTATTGAACGTTTTGTGAGACTGTTGCAGTTGCAGTGTTCTGCACCAAATCTAAAGGAGACTTAAATCTAAGGGCAGATGCAGACTGAGACTCACAACAGATCCTCTGATTTGGCACATGTAACATTCACAAGCCACATAAAGTTGTGTTAGCACTGAACATCTGCATGTAGCCCTAATCACATGAATCCTCCCAGTATGGTTGAGCCCAAGCACACCATGTAAGGACAACTCTTCTGTATCAGACTGTCTAACCCAGCATTTTGTTTCCAAGAATGGCCAGCAAGATGCCCCTACAGGCTCACAGGTAAGTTGCCTTTCCCTGTTGTTCTTCCCCAGCATCTGGCACCCAGAGGTACATTGCCTCTAAACACGTAATTTTTATTTCAGCCATCATGGCAAACAGCTATGAATTAATCTAATTATTTTGAGATCACCTAAGCTAGTTGCTATCACTGCATGTTGCAATAATGAATTCCATCAGATGAGAATGTCTTTTGTGAAGAATTACTTTCTTTTCAGCTTTCTTAAACCTGTTTTCCAGCACTAACTAGTAATCTGATAAAAGATTCCTTAAGAATTAGCAGCTGTATAAATTGTGTCTTTTAGCAATAAAACGAACATCCACTTATTTATCCATCTTGTGTCATATAAAGAAAATGTGGCATGTTTCTAGAAGCCAAAAAATGGGGAGAAGGAACCATACAGGCAGCAAAATAAACAAATGAATAATACACATGATTGCTAACACCACACTACTGATGCAAATAAAGCACCCCTACCTAGAATTCTGTTATGACAAGCAGGTAATTTAGTTGGGACTGCCAGCAAAAAGGAACAAAGAATCTTTTTTATTGAATTCTAGAGGATGACAGTAAATTGTAAAACCAACGAGGCGACGGTGTCTCTTATCTAGTTGTCAGTGAGTGTTTTAACTTTTGTTTTCCCCGGAATCTGAAAATTAATAATTGCTACTTACAATGCAGAACATGGTTCCCGTAAGCATCATAAAAAAATTAGAAGCCCTAATTAATTCAAATCTCAAGTCATGGTGGGTGGCACGTGGATACTGGTGTGCAAAAGTGTGCTGAAGAGCAAGAAACTTTTAACTTCTTTGGGGAGGTGCAAGCCAGCTGGAGCAGAATTATCATGTAAATCTGTCTTTTAACAGTACATAACATCCCACTGCCCTCAGTAAACGTCTCACACAATTAATGGACTTTGATGAATGTGATAGACTTAAAAGGATTAGAGATGTTAACATCATACCTTCCTCTGAAGAGGTGTTAACATGAATTTCTAATAAGGATCTCAGCTCAGTGTCTTCCTTCTGGCCTTTGTAGTGAAGTTTAAGTATAGCTCTACCATGTGGACTGTGACAAATGCACTGCTCGATTATAACTGTGATTATTGAGTGACACACAAACAATGCCATTTGTATGCTTTTGAATAGCTTCTGATTGAGATGTTTCATTTGGAAAATGAATTGAAAACCATTGGCAAAGAGAGATATTTTACCCCCCACTAGATTTGCAGCTCTCAAAAGCAAGGTTGTTTATGAGGCATCCTGTTGCATCAAAATATATGGAATGTGTTTTTTAAGTCATGCTACAATAATGTCTAACCATCATGGAGCCAATTATGGACCTGCCACTAGCAATAAGATGTAGAAAAGGAAAGAAAATTGTAGGACAGCTGTCACATACCTGTTTATTATTTTTATTTTGCAGCTGAGTTTTACTTAACATTCTGGCATGTTATTTTACATATTTAGAGCTATCCTGGTGATTATTATGCAATCCATCTTCATACTTTTCCAAAAAAAAATCAAGAAACCAAGATATTACAGTCAGGGGGCGGGGGGACAGCTTTTACCAGTCAGCCGAGTTGTGCCATATGTGAAGGTTACAGAAATATATTTGCGTGGGCTAAAAAGGTGGCTAGTGTGTATTTTAAAATTTACTTCATAATAAACATTTATTCCTTTGGTGAGGTCACAGAGGGCAGGAATGGCTCAGTTTTCCATTTCCTTGCTTTTGGGCAATTCAGTTGTTCAAAGAATATTTCCCTGTGGCTGTTTCAGCAATTGGGGGGGGGGGGGGGGAAGTGTGCTTTGTCCTGTTGCATTGCAGTCCCGATGACTGGGCTCTCCTGGCATTTTTAAGCCGCCCATGTTAGGCTTTTTAATGGCAGCATCGTCCCCGTGGTAGATAAGAAGATGCTGTCACATCTAGCTTGGCACTCAGTGGAGTTTTTTTTGCCAATGCAAATCTATTCCTGAATTTTAAAAAAGTTCTTCCTCAGGCAAAGAATTTTAAAATATATAAGTAATGTAAAAATGTCAGTATACACTGATGTTGCAATAGTTGTGTGTGTATGTGTGTGTGTATTACATAGGTTTTTCATCCTACCGTGGTATACCTCGGTCATAAGAATATTGCACATGAAATACCATATTATGGATAACCCCAGGGGTGCATTCATTTCTAATGTGGTGTCTGTGCCTAATGTATTTCCACAGGAGCACACTGGAAGGCAATAGCAAATCACTTCTGCTCATCTCTTGTCTTGAAACCCCACTCAGTTGGAACTTCACAGGGCTGTCATGAGTTGGTTGCGACTTGATGGCAAACTTTACCTTCAGTAAGAGTATTGTGCAGAGCCTGAATGCAGCTAGGGGTATACTTTCCAGATAAAGACCCTGAGTCTTCACTGATTCAGCCTAGCTGGATTGTAATTAATTTAATTTGGTTTTTCTGTACAACTGCACATGTATCACCAAACCTTTTGATATTTCCATGTCTCATTGTCCCTGACTGCTTAGATTGTGAGTCCTTTATGGCAGGGATTGTCTTTGATCTTTACATACAATGAAACGGAATGGGGAAAGAAAAAAGGATAAATGCACTCCCTTAAAATCGGGATTGGTCAAGCTGAGCACAGTTATTACAAAACTGATAACAGAATATTGATGGTTTCTTCCATCAAATGAAGATTTTTTTAAAAGGTGGGAGGCGGGAGTGGCTTGGAAAGCAGCAAAAAGAGAAAGCACAATGGTTATGGGGAGGGAGAATATTCCAAGCATATGGAGAAGCAAGTAGACAATGATAGCAGAGAAACAATACAGGAAGAAACTGAAACAAGTTATATGAGGATGAGTCAGGTAAGAGAATGCGGTAACCCGGGTCCCCTGAGGTAATCATAGCCACTGGGAAAGAGAAGAACAGTGGAGGGGGGGAAATTTTGTACAGCAAAGAGGAGAGCAAAATAGGCAGAGTTATAACAAGGAGGGGAAAGGAATAGGCAACATGGCATCCCCAGATGTGACATCTTTGTTTTCTTGGCTCACCATCTTTTTAGCAAAGCCTGGGCAGCCATCTGGTGGAATGTTACTAAAGTTGGCGTTTGTAAGTGTTGTCTGGCGGGGGAAAGGTCCGTGTTTGAGGCAACTGTTAATAATAAACTTAGAATAATGTGTTGGGAACAAAATACTCTGTTGATGGGCCATCTGATCACATTGAATACAGCACCAGAATTACCCAGGATCTGTACTTCATGAAGGGGGATCTTATACTATAAGAGACAGATCCCCATTTTATGCCCCTGTTGCTATGACTGAGATGCCTCCTTGATGTCAGGCGTATGTCATGCAGACAGCTAGGATATTCACAATGCAATGTGTGTAATGGTTCCTTTGAGTTTCTTTGCATGAGCAAAAGCTTTCTAAGTTAATAGTAGTGCTGGTCTAGCTTTCACCATAATAAGTTCGTGTGTGTGTGTGTGTGTGTGTGTGTCTGTGTGTGTAAACTTAACTCCTAACCTTCTCTGCCATCCCCTTTTCCAAAACTATTTCTGGAAGGATTGGTTGGAGATCTCCTGGAATTACAGCTGATCTACAGACTACAGAGATACTTCCCCTGGAGAAAATAGGTGTATTAGAGGCTGGACACTGTGGTATTGGGACACCCCTCCCCTTTACAAACCCTGCCCTCCCCAGACTCCACACCCAGATCTTCAGGAATTTTCCAACCTGAAATTGACACCCCTAATTTCTGGCAGGGAAGTGAGTGGAGAAGGGGGCAGCAGCAGCAGAGAACTAATCTTTAAAGTCTGATTTCTCTTGGATTCTTCTCAGCATGCTCAGTAGTATCCATTGCAGCCAAACATACTAGACTGTAATGCCTCTCTGCTTACTAGACAGCGTTCTCAGTGCTTACAGGCTCAGTTCACAGGATTCCCAGTAGCAGTAAATAGTTCTTGGCATGCTCAGAAATATCCAAGAGTGCCCAGGCATTACAGATGAGGCCGTGCCTCTACTGAAGTCCTCCATATTAGCCGTCTCTGCTGCTGCTTCCTCTTTGTCACAGTACATTTTGCCAAATGAGAAACTGTGTGATGGTAGAGAGTGCTGGCACCAAAGCAGACTATTAGAAACTGGGAGCAAATTTTAGAAAGGCTTATAATGGCTCATTTTTCAAACTGGGGAAGTTTGTTTTCGGGGGGGGGGATCCAAATTTTTCTACCGTTAGCAGATAATAAAAATTCTTGCCAGCATTATTATTTGTTAGCTGATTTGACTTTAAGCT